CAGATTGTGATTACAACGATGACTAAAACAATTATATTCGTCGGCTTCCTTCTCGCAACGACATTGACTTTTGTAAGGCTAACGAGGATCAAGAGCATGTACTGCTCGTTGCATTTGAGCACCACCTTGGACATTTCCTATCACAAGTTGAGAATGATCCTTTCACTATTCGTACCAAAGAGGAGAGATGAGCAAGCGAAATGACGAAGTTAAGAGAACAAATTACGGATACGTTAGTAGGAGACTAATAGGTGTATTTGTAATTTATTCAGTATTATGTATTGAACATTCAGTAGTATATTTCTTTTAATTAAAGTTATTATGCTTTACATTTTACGTGTGTATGGTTTGAACTTTTTACACTATTTCTACAGGTTATATTTTTCCCACTAGCATTTAACGATTTATTTTAGATGGGTTTGAGATGTCAGTGAAAAGATGTTTGACCTTTATAGGTTCTTTTGGATGGCCTGTTGGGCGTTTTTGGTTCTGCAGTCTCTCAACAGGATTCCATAAAGGTTGTAGGAACAAGGATTCATAGGCGATGACCCTATAAAACACTAGAGTAAGAATCAGGTACTATGTAAAATTTAAATCATTAATTCTAATCTTACAATACAGGATAAACCTCTCAAACATGTCACGCCCATGATGCATGAACATTTTAAGAGATATGTGGAAAGCCTTTTAACCCTAAAGGTTATAAGGCCCAGTAAGAGTCGCCACAGAACAATGACGATGATCGTAAATTCTGGTACCTCAATTGATCCAATGACAGGGAAGGAGATCAAGGGAAAATAACGCATGATATTTAATTACAAATCACTTAATAACAATACTTATAAAGACCAATATACGCTACCAGGCAAAAACACCTTGCTGAAGAAAATAGGGAATAGCAAAATCTACTTGAAATTTGATCTTAAGAGTGGATTCCATCAGGTAGCTATGCACCCAGACTCGATCGAGTGGACAACGTTCGTAGTACCAACTGACCTATACGAATGACTTGTAATGTCATTCGGTTTGAAGAATGCACAAGCAATATTTCAACAAAAGATGGACAACTGTTTCGAAAGGTACTCTAAATTTATGGTTGTGTATATTGATGACGTGCTTATTTTCAGCAAAAACGAATACGAACACAAGGAGCATTTGGAACAATTTTTTAACATTGTAGAGAGGAAGGGCTGGTACTCTCCACAATAAAAATGAAAATTTGGTTCCCCAAATTGAATTCCTTAGAGCTGTAATCAGGAATTCAAAAATAAAATTACAACCCCACATTATTAAGAAAATTGCAGACTTCCCAGAGGAAAAGCTAAAGGAAAAGCAAGGGCTTCGTTCTTGGCTAGGTATATTAAACTATGCAAGATCTTATATACCTAATCTTGGAGTTTTATTAAGTCCTCTTTACCAAAAAACATCTCCCCACGGAGATAAAAGGATGAAGCCTCATGACTGGGAGACTGTTAGAAAAATCAAGGAGCTGGTAAAAAATTTACCTGATCTAGAGATTCCTCCAGAAAAGGCATATCATTTTAGAAATTGATGGATGTATAGAGGAATGGGGTGACGTTTGCAAATGGAAAACAAATAAGGCCAACCCAAAAAACTCTGAAAAAGTCTACGCATATGCAAGTGGAAAGTTCACAAGAACTAAATCAACAATTGACGCGGAGATTTTCGCTTGTATGAAGACAAAGAACTCACTGAAAATCCATTACTTGGATAAAAGTGAGATCACTCTGAGGCAGCAATATTTCAACGAAAGATGGGCAACTGTTTCGAAAGGTACTCTAAATTTATGGTCGTGTATATTGATGACGTGCTTATTTTCAACAAAAACGAATACGAACACAAGGAGCATTTGGAACAATTTTTTAACATTGTAGAGAGGAAGGGCTGGTACTCTCCACAATAAAAATGAAAATTTGGTTCCCCAAATTGAATTCCTTAGAGCTGTAATCAGGAATTCAAAAATAAAATTACAACCCCACATTATTAAGAAAATTGCAGACTTCCCAGAGGAAAAGCTAAAGGAAAAGCAAGGGCTTCGTTCTTGGCTAGGTATATTAAACTATGCAAGATCTTATATACCTAATCTTGGAGTTTTATTAAGTCCTCTTTACCAAAAAACATCTCCCCACGGAGATAAAAGGATGAAGCCTCACGATTGGGAGACTGTTAGAAAAATCAAGGAGCTGGTAAAAAATTTACCCGATCTAGAGATTCCTCCAGAAAAGGCATATCATTTTAGAAATTGATGGATGTATAGAGGAATGGGGTGACGTTTGCAAATGGAAAACGAATAAGGCCGACCCAAAAAACTCTGAAAAAGTCTGCGCATATGCAAGTGGAAAGTTCACAAGAATTAAATCAACAATTGATGCGGAGATTTTCGCTTGTATGAAGACGAAGAACTCCCACAAAAGATCCATTACTTGGATAAAAGTGAGATCACTCTGAGGACGGACTGCCAGGCGATTATCGTATTTTACAATAAAATGGTTCAAAATAAACCGTCTAGAGTCCGATGGCTGGCGTTCACTGACTTCATCAGTAGACTGGGAATCACCGTCAATTTTGAACACATTGACGGAAAGATTAACACACTCGCAGATTCACTTTCCAGATTAACGTTTCTTTTATGTGCAGGAAAAGAAACTTAAGTTAATTTCATTTTTGCAGGAGCAAAAGAATGGACTCACGAGGAAACGGAAAAAACGCTAAAGGAAAGGAGCTGTATTCAGAGATTGAATCAGATTTTTTTCATATGCAGCAATGCCGGCAAGAAACGCTTTCTGGCCACGAGATCAGACTTCTTGTCAATGCGACCCAAGGAAGCATGTGACTTACACTGGGAGCTGTTATGGGAAAAGTTCAACCATCCCATTAACTTGGACACATGCGACAAGCTCAGAGGCACGGCAAGTAGAATGAAGAAAGACCAGGTCCTAAAGGTCCTAGATGAATTAAGAATTTTATTAACAATTTACGAAAATAAATCCAGGTATTGTAGGAGTATGTCTACAAAAGACAATGCCTAGGCTGACATCTCACCAAGCGTACACCAGATGGAAAAACGACTCGGAAATGTAATTAACGACGTGGCTGACGTCATTCATAAAGGACTAGAGTATTTTGTGTAGGGAGCAATAGTGGGCCCTACCATGTGTTTGTGTGCTGGAAAGAATCTTTCTTTCCAGAAGTTGTTTTCTGTAAACGGTTTTAGCCCATGGTTTTGCTTTCCTATGGGCTGGTTTGTGGTTTTCGCCCACCGTTTTGCTTTGGCCGGTTTGTGGTTTTTCCTGGCCTATATATGTGAGTTATGCCGAAGTTGCAGAACACACGGAAATCATCCGAAGTTCTACTTCTTCACTAAGATTCTTCTGTAAGTGTTTCTTTATAATTAAATATTGTTATCTTCTTCTGTTTTTGTTGAACTCCCTCACACCTTGAACTAAGTCCCGCACTTCTTCTCGGTGCATCGGTTTATGAGGTTCTTTAGGATAACCTTTTTTGGTGATATGCACATGTGACACTGGAGGTTGATTTTATATTGTTAAAGGCAACCAAGAACTCATGTTTATACAAGGTCTACTGTCTTTTTGTAGTGGCAGATTCGTTGGTTGGTATGATGAGTTTTCTAAGACATCACGTATGCTAATAACTATAATTAATTACTTCTTTTAGCAATTTCACTTTTTGTTATGACTGATAGATTATCTTTTTAATCATTCAGGAAAGATGAACTCCAGGATCATAGAGACCTCCGGATGAGTGCTCTATCACTGCGGACTACAGCATTCCCTACTAACGTCATGCCGTGAATATAGCTACGAGAGAATATTTTACAGGAGCCCGCGGTGGGCAAAGGTGTCCGAAGAAGTGAGGCTTCTTCCGGTGGGCAGACAGACCGACAGATTCTACTGCCGATAGTGATTGGGCATGTGTGGCATCCCCGGAGGACGACTTAGCTCGAGACAAAAGTCAGCTAGAATTTAAAATTAATATCATCATTTTTTCACAGTAATGTAAGGCGTGAATCTTATTTTTTCAACTTTTTTGAATTAATTTTTTTTGTTTTTCAAGCATCAACTATATTGCTACGATAGTTCTATTTTAAATTGCACAGAAGCAGAAAAGTCATTTATCTAGAAACAACTACAACACAGATATTTTCAATTTGTATAAAAGAAACAGTCGGACAACTTCCCCGCAACAGCTTCCCTGAAGCAGTTTCCTAGGGCAGCTAAGCTGCAGCTGCCCCAAACAGACCCTTAATCATTAATAATCAAGCAATCCGTAGGCAATAGCTTTCAAACTAAAACACTCCAAAAATCTATGGAGAACAACTTTTTATTTATCCTATGAAGTTAATTTGGAATTTCAGAAACAAAGTCTAGTTTCCAAATTTTTTTCTTTCCTAAATAAATAATTTCAATTCTACATGCAAAATTCTTATCCTCCTTTTTACACAAAACAAGGAAAGAAAATTTATTCGTAAAATTTCACACTTTTACACACCTCTCTTCGCATCCTATTCTTCGAGATCTCTTAGCATTCCATCATAAACTAGTGGATAAAATGTCAAAGCAGCACAACTAAAACTAGGCATGAGATAAAATGTCAAAGCAGCACAACTAAAACTAGGCATTTGCTAGTCTAACTTGCTTTCTTACCATGCAGCAAAATGTGCAATGTTATAGAAAATCCTACATGTCTACTCAGCAATAATCCTTTGGGATATGTACTTTTCATTGACAGGAAGTAGTTGACGTTAACATTGCACCAACAATCCACTCGTACATTTATCGGTAGAGTATGTGTGTGTATCTTTTGAGAAATATTTATTCACATTTTTCTGTAGAGATGAGATAATACAATAAGAAAAAGGTGAAGATATTACATATTCAAAGACTAGAAAGGTGCAGCTGCAGACACATATCAACAGATAAAAGTTTCAAAAAGGTACAGATCTGAAACTGTAAACTAACCTGATTCATGTCTATGGTTTGTATTGCACTACCACGGGTAAATATAATTGCATGGTTTTGATTTTCTGGTTTACCCTCACCGAGCTTCGGATCTCCGGGTAATTTCACTGAATATACTTCCTGAACAGCAGCATTCCATAGCAAACTAAATCAGGAATAATGAGGATAAATGAATCCACAAGTAACTTATGATTTTTGCAACAGAACCACACATTTTGATAACTGCTCGCAATGCAACCAAAACCAAGAAAGGAACAACATCATAAAATATCAAAAGAATAGGTATCCAATCAATCTGCATAGAATTGCCGCAACATAACTTGGGAGATCAAAAATTTAATTTGTAATGAGTAACAATGTAGTAATATAATATAGTAATGCTTGAGAACAGAATTACCAAAGTCCATCCTAACATTATACAAATGATCAAAACTCAGGTGAATAAAAATGCCCAAAATAAAAGATAAATGGTGCAAATAAACTGAGAATTACATATGAGGGACTAATGTAACACGGTGTATCTAATTATAAAATGGAAGTCCTATTCTGTGAAAATTCTAAAACATGGCATAGTATAAATTATTTAGTCATTAACTGAAATAAGCCCAAAATAAAAATGAATAAATGTTCAAAAGATAGGCTTGGAGTTAGCAAAACAAAATCTTGATTATATAATATAAATTTTCAATTATTGTGATTTAAGTAATTCGAAACAGATACAGAGAGTGACCCCGAGTGAAATATGTTTATGAATCTTGGATCCATTACAAAGAAATAATGTAAACCAAAAGCAAGCTGATTGTCGTTTTGAAAAAAGAGATGCATAGAATAGTTTAACACTTCATCAGACACTAAATAAGAATGGATGGAAAATAATGATCCAATAAACCAAATCCAAATAGTTGAAATAATGAAAACAATGGTGTGTTATTCCTAACTGATTAAAAGAGTCAATCAGAATGGAATACGTCAAAAATAATTTGTTAAAAATTCAGATTTGCTACAACAAAGAAAAAAATTTAATGCTTATAGAAGAACTACAATAATCTACCAAGCATGATAATTAGGCCATTCAATCCTTAGAGCAAAATGCCCCAATAAAAGCCAAAAGAGCCAAAAAAACACTCTTGATTCAATTTGGAATTAAGTTCAAGCGTACAAGCCTTCAAATATTGAGATAAATGCTAATATATATATATATATATATATATATATATATATTTATATGACACACACACGAGGCCATCTCCTTCTTCGTTTGCTAGGGTTTTGCCTCATGGCAAACCCTAGCCTGTGCCACGGTAATCTCACGCTCGAAGGAGTTCGCTCCTCCGTTTCGTCTTCCGTCATCTTCGGATGTTTCGTCGAGCTGCACACACCAATCTAATCCATCTTCCCTTCGGCTATTTCGTCGAGTTGTGTTTTCTACTCGCATCTTGCAGACGCCCGAAGACCACAAACTGTTTGCACGTCGTCTCCTAAACGACAACGGGACTCTTTGCTTGCATTCGCCTACTCGACAGACGTTCGCATCTTCGGCTATTTCGTCGAGTTGCGTTTTCTGCTCGCATCTTGCAGACGCCCGAAGACCACGAACTGTTTGCACGTCGTCTCCTAAACGACAACGCGCCACTTTGCTTGCATTCGCCTACTCGACAGACGTTCGCACGTCTCGCAGAAAGACACGGCTGTTCCAGCCCGACAGACGATTTCAACGATTTCTTCTCGCATCCTATTCGCATCTTTGCGGCCCCCCAGACTATTTATGTCCTGACCGTGACCATCTTGTTAGAGAGATGGGCTCGATGCTCCGTTCCTATGCAAATGCTCTTGTCGGCGACTTGCCCTTTCCCGCTAGTTCCCCTCCCACAGGCTCCAGGTTCAGTGTCTGGTTTTGCTATCGGTAAGTCCTACAATGCTCCAGAATCTTTCCACGATGCTCTTAAAGGTGGAGGTGATCACATTTTTATTAAAAAACTTGAAAAAAAAATGGGAAGTCTGTACTTATTCTCACAGAGTCTGAAACCGGTACTCTTGCGTCCTCTTGGTGTTTTTCTCTAGTCGGGAAATTCCTTTATGGTCACCCAAAATTGGAGATCATTAGGAAGGAGTTTGATGCTATGAAACTATTGGGCAGTTGGTACATTGGTCTACTTGACGGTAGAAATATACTCATTCAGCTATCTCACGATGCTGATTACACTGGCATTTTCTTTCGAAAAGCTATCAAGATTAACAATCGTTTTATGAAATTCTGAAGTGGACTGTCGGTTTTGATCCAAAAGCGGAGTCTCCTATCATTCTTGTTTGAATAAAGTTTCCGGAGTTAAAATTACATTTGTTCAATATGGAAATCCTCTACTCTTTAGCAACTGCTTACGGTAAGCCTCTCAAGGTGGATAGTCTTACATTTGTTGTCACTAGACCCTCTGTGGTTTGTGTGTTAGTTGAGAGAGATATCACTCAACCAGCTCCGGATGAGATATGGATTGACACTATTCACAACGGGTATTGGCAAAAGATTGAAATGGAACCACATCCTCCTTTTTGCTCTCATTGTAGTATGTTTGGCACAGCTCTACTATTTGTTATCGTTTGCATCCTCATCTAAGGTCGAATATCACTAAAAAACAACCACCTATTATCCCAGTTAAGAAGATGCAACCCGATCCTCTTCCCAACACCGTAGTTTCTGAGAAAGAACAACATACTACAACTACAGATCCAGTTGTGCTCATACCACCCACTGTTATTGAAGAAAACTCACTTACATTTGATCCAATAATAGAGCATCTTATACAACATGTAGTTGCTTCTAATGTTCAACAATCTGCACATCTCCAACACACATTAGGTCAAGATCAGGTGAGTCAATCTTTGGAAGAGGAATCACAGGTCTATTTCAGGAGGAAGAAGAAGAATGGAGGCTGACTCCAGCTCGGGAACATATTGGATGATACATTGGTTACTACTGGCAAAAACAATCATCTTACCAACTTATTAGCTTGCTCCTTTCCTAGAACCATAGGCAGAGGCAAAACCAAATTGGGTTACTCTCTAGCCACCTGATACTATGTATTTTAGCATTTCTAGGGATTTTCTTTTTATCTCTAATGTAATTTTCAGTATTTTCTAGTTTTGGAACCCCTTCTGGTTTTGGTGTGGGCAAGGGGTCATGTTTGGGCCCCGATGGTTTCACTTCTGCTTTTTATATTCCTACTGGAGCATCATAAAGAAAGAAGCAGTGCTTGCGATTCAAAGATTTTTTCAGGGTAAAGACCCTGAAAAGTATTTTTCTGCCGCTCTGATTGTTGTTATCCCTAAATCTAACGATAAAACTCATTGGAAGGACTTTCGGCCCATCTCGCTCACTTCTGTGATATCTAAAATTATCAATAAACTGATTGTAGCTCATTTTCAACCACACCTTCCTTCTCTCATCTCCCCCCACCAATCAGCTTTTATTAAAGGACGTGATATTTCTGACAATTTTCTCTTACCTCATGAAATTTTGCAGGATCTTGATAAAAAATGCAGGAGTGGCAATCTTGTTATCAAATTAGATATCAAGAAGACATTTGATACTATTAATTGGGATTTCATCATCAACGTTTTGAAGGCTAGAGGTTTCACTACCAGTTTTTGCACCTTGATAAAAAGATGGTTGGCTAACAACTATTTTTTTCGTGCTGGTAAATGGTAATTCTTATGGATTTTTCACTGCTTCTCGTGGCATCAAATAGGGTACCCTCTCTCCCCTATTAGTTTCATTTTAGCTTTCGTTTATTTATCCAGGATGCTCAACCATTTCCAGCTGTTACACCCTCACACACAGTTTTCTCATAAGGCCAAGATGATGGTTTCACATCTTGCTTATGCTGATGATGCGATTATTTTTGCCAATGCCTCTAAGATTGTTCTAAAACAATTGATGGGGCTCTTAAAAGTATTTCCAGAATTGTTCTGGACTCCTCTTTAATTGTGACAAGTGTCAGATGTTTTTTGGCAAGCACTTTAAGCCCTAACTTATTCATTGGGGAAAATATCTTCCTCTCAAATTGTAAAATCAACGATTGGATGATGTTTCTCTTCCTCTCAAATATCTTGAGGGTAAATTTGATTAGGGGAAGAAGGAAACAAATACAGATGGATGATGTAATTGATAAAATCAAGAGTAAAATCAACGATTGGAGAAATGTTTTCCTTTCTACTGAGGGCATAATTTTTTGAATTTTTTTGCTTTCTAGTGTTATTCAGAGTATTCCACTATATGCTTTGCAGGTGTTTAACCAAAAAAAAAGTGCTATCAATATTAAGGAGAGGCTTTTTAACAAATTCGTTTGGGTGGGGAATGGTGCTAAGAAAATTTGGGGCTCTTGGCATATGTTTTGTAAGCCTAAGAAGGCTGGCGGGTTAGGCTTTAAAGCTTTGAAACATAGGGTGGAAATAAACCTTTGCAAACTTTGGTTCGAATTTAGATTGAGCTCATCTCTATGGGCTTCCTTTATGCATCAGAAATATTGTGCCCAAACTCATCCTTCCCAGGCTATGTGAAATGTTGGTGATTCCCGTATTTGGAAAGCAGTTGTAAATGCTAGAACCACTGCTAAGGATTTCATGTTTTGGGATATAAGAGGCGACAATATCTCTTTCTGGAATGATAATTGGGGGATGTCTCATCTCTCTGAATACTTTCACCCTCTACATTCTAATTCCTTATTAGTTTCTGATTTCTTTCATCAAGATGACTGAGATTTCTCCAAATTATGTTCTATTGTGGGGGAGCAAAATGCAAAACATATAATTACTATTCCTATCACCCCTTCACGAAAGGATCTCCCCGTGTGGAAAAGGAACAATTCTCAATCGGTTTGCAAACTTATATATGACACTTTACATTCGCACTGGGATTGGTTTTGGGGAAAATAGATTTGACACATATTCTTAACTCCCTCTATATCCTTTTTCCTTTGGCGACATCTCTCTTCTTTACTATCTATTGATGACATTCTTAAGTTGAAAGGCCTTAAAATGACCTCGAGATGTCCTATGTGTAAAGTTGCGGAGGAAGATACAAGGCACATATTTTTTGAATGTGCTTTCTTTTTAAATGTCTGGGATATACTGGGCATACATTTTGGTATTTCATGGTTGCATAAATGCATTTTAAGCAACTTTTTGTGGCAATGGAAGGATTTTGATGATAAAGGTGGGGGGTTTCCCCTTCCTTTATTGGTCCTTCGATTTATTTGAACCTCGAGAAACAACTTTAAATACAACTCTTCTCCTCCATTGCTTCTATGATTGTCTCTTATGTGATGACTTATTACACTAAGGTCCTAAGGGTTGGTCCTATTGATGTTTCTACTTTAAGGCCCCCCCGACTGATTAGGTGGGCTCCCCCTTCATTGGGTTATGTTAAAGTTAATAAAGTTAATGTGG